TTCTCTCGTGGTGAATGTTTGTCTTGAGATGTTCTCAAGGCAAAAACGAGAGGTTTATGGTCCGTGTAGATAGTGAAGTTTCTTCCTTCGAGTATGTATCGAAGGTGCTTGATCGCTAAATAGATAGCTAAGGTGCTGTAGCGGGTTTGTGCGGGTTGCAGTTTGCGAGAGAAGAAACAGAGAGTTTGAGTGCTGTCATTCACTACCTGCTAGAGGACCACACCAGCAGCGGTCTGTGATGCGTCCGTTTTCAGCATGAGTCGGCAGTCAGGACTGGGTTTCAAATTACCCAGGGTGGTGGCTTCCGAAAGAGCGCTTTTACTGGCGTTGAAATCAGTAGTAGCTTGGTCATTGAATTGTAACCGTTTGTTGTTTGCTTTGAGCAAGTCGGTTAGTGGTGCGAGGATCTATGAGCAGTGTGGGATGAATCAGCCGTAATAGTTGACCATTCCCAAAAATCGCTGCAGGCCTCTTGTTGACTGAGGTAAGGGGTAGTCCGAAATAGCAGTGGTTTTATCTGGCAGCAGCCGGATCCCTTCGGAGATGATACAATGGCCGAGGAAGTCAAGCTGGTCTGCCGCGAAAACACACTTATCTGGATTGATAGTGATACGATATTGTTGGAAACATTCGTAGATGGCTTGCAAGTATGATTTGTTTTCTTCGATCGTTTTGCTTGCCAGCAATACGTCGTCAATGTAAGCGACAACGTAGTCTAAATCACGCAGTGCCTGGTCTATGAAGCATTGAAACGTTTGAGCGGCGTTCCAAAGACAGAAGTGCATGCTTGTGAATTCGAATAGCCCAAGGGGTGTAGTAATCGCTGTTTTGGGAATGTCGTCAGGGGCAAACGGTACACGGTAATACGCTAGGACGAGGTCGATTTTGGAGGAAACAGTCTTGCCTTGTAATTGCATTGCAAAATCGCTGATATGTGGTATCGGGTAATGGTCAGGTACTGTACGACAACTGAGTGCTAGGTAGTCACCGCACGGTCGCCAATCACCAGTGGATTTCTTGTGGGCCAAATATAGAGAAGAAGCCCAACATGAATTTGAAGGCCGAATGATTCAGAGTTGCAGCATGTGGTCAGAATCGGCTCTGGCGATTTGCAGCTCCTCAGGGTGTGTTCGTCGAGGGTGAGAGTGAACTGGAGGACTGGTGGTCGTTATCTGGTGCTTGACTTGATGTGGCGAATAAGGCTTATTAAGCAAACTTGGAAAACTTTTGATCAAATCGTCGAAAACCAGGATGTTTGAAATAAGGGCGACGTGAATACCGAGTGGGTATGACGAAGCGTCGACCTGGACTGATGGAACGTAAAGTGACGTTAAAGCATCCGGACGCTTTTGCCGCTCACTATTGACGGTCAGAGAGAAGTTAGTCAGGAAGTCCGCACCGATGATTGAGACGTGCGCGTCGGCAACAGTAAAAATCCAGGGGAATGAACGGCCAAGACCCGGGGCAAGCCTCGAAAAGCTACCTTATGTCCTAAGGTAGCCTTTCGAGTGCCGTTAGCCGCCTGCAGTGTCACTAGCGGGTTGGAGCTGTAGCGTTTCGAGTGTCCGGCAGGAATAACGCTGAGTTGTGCACCGGTGTCGACAAGGAACCTCATTCCGGTGGTTTTATCTGTAACGTAGCGGAGGCGACTAGGTGACTGGCCAGTGGCAGGTGTCGCCACTACCGACCGGCCAGTGAGTTTCAATGGTCGGGGGTGTAGGCGCATCGGAGTGTGCAATGTAAACTCTTGCCCTTGAATTTTGGGTGGCAATAGCAAAATCTGTTCTGATTCCGAGATGAAGAGGTCGGTTAACGTCACTGTCACTGCTGACAGTCATTCTATTTCTTTCTCTTCGCCCCTCTTCCCGAGCTTGAGTCCTCGACCGCAGTTGCCCAAACGCCTCTCAGAACTGTTATTCATTCAAACTGGCTGGTGCTCGGTCTACACTCACACGATCCCCTAACAAAAGGAAAATTATCCGTGAGCCTACATCTGCATGACTCCCTGCGTCAATCTACGTCTCACCACGGAACTGCGCATCCCTCCTCCGACCCTTGACGACCGTTACGGGGTTGTCCATAAACCGAAGCATGTCAGTGCGATGATGGCATGGCACTGTCATACCCAGTGAGATGGCACTCCCGCAACTATTTTCTCCAGAATCTCGAACGCAACCCATCGCCCGCTCAAGCTTGTAGCCACATCTTCGAGGAGTTCCCATCCGGCCACGTCTCTGGGATGAACTCTTCCGTACCCAATAAATTTTCGCTCAGATTTGGCTAGCCTGGCTTTCCGACTGCAATTTCGACTTGCCTGCCGCACAAGTTCAAATCCGTATACGGGGTTCATGTCGCCCTATGTATTAGCAACTTGCCCCCATTCAACTTATTCCCCTGCGCCTGACATCCCTACAACAGTGCAACCAGTGAGTCTGCTTGCTTTCAGATTAAACCACATTTTTGAGACAAATTCATCTCCACTTTTGGTCGTTGTGACTCCGGCCATTTACCTAACCACCCAAGGTCACTCATGGCCAGCAATGGATTTCAGTTTTAGTTCATGCCACCTGACTGTCTTTGATCCAGTCGAACCTCGCCCATTTATCCCAACAAGTTGGGAAATAACCTATTATTGCTATATCATCAGGTGTTCCCCACTGTTTGTGACATTGTCCTCTTTTTGTGCAATCCGTAGCCCCACAAATCCCTCAGTCATTCTCCATTCTGACTGTAAAACTATGATCATGCCAGACGGTATGCCACCCACAAGTTGGGAATAAACATTATTATTATTATTAAACCGATCGGGGCATGTGTGACGTACTAGTCCGCGCCGCTGTGGTGGCTATCTTGTTTAAAATTGCCGCCAGTTGATCGATTTGCGCATGCATTCGATCGAGGCGTGCCATAACAGGGTTGTCGTTACGCTGAATGGGCTGTTGTTAGTTTAAGGTTATCAAACGTTCAGCGAAGCATTCGTGAATCTTATCTGCCGTCTCAGCGAGTGACGATAGAGGGACATCTGACTGGGAAGCCAGAATTTGGCGAGTGCATAAGGGGAGACACTGCAGCCACAACTGCTTTAAAATTACGTCGTCAAAAGACTTCCCGCACGCAAAGCCTTGCATGTGCCGTAGCAGTTGCGGAGGTGTGCGATCGCTCAGTTCAAACCCTGCAAGCAATCTCTACAGATTCGCTTTGTCTGAGGTGTCCGTCCGTTTAATAATTGATGCTTCCAGTGTGTTCTAGGGGTTTCATGCCAGCATAGGATCAATCAGGTCAATAACTTCCGCGACAACCTCGGTCGGAAGTTGAGAAACTACGTAATAAAACCTGGTTTCCTGTGGGGTAATTCGGCGGAAATGGAAGTAACCTTCCAGTTGGATAAACCACAATCTAGGGTTATTGACTCCAAAAGCTGGCAGTTTTACGTGAATGGCGTTTTCAACTAACTCGGTGTTGAGTTGGTCTTCGATAGACACAGTTGAAAAAAATTACTGGACTAAGTGTATGCGAGAAAGATATAGGAGATCTGAGCTTGCGAAAAAAAGAACATAGCAAAACATGTTCGGGCACACTAATTACGTGGTGGTTAACGGCCATATGGAGTCTATAATGAACAGAACAAATTACAAATGTGTAGTAACTGCTTCGGTGTGTCTGAGAGTTTGCGCATGTGCGTGTCCGTTCGTCGTTCCACCATCGATTTGGCATGTGACTAGAGTGGCTGACTGGATGCGTGTCCGATTGGTTGGCTCGCGTGGGCGCTGTGGGTTGACCGGATATGTGACTCAGTTGCTTGCCTGCCACAAAAGCGGACCAGTTTGGCCGCATGTACCCAATACATCCGTGTCCGTACTTACGCGTTCTTCTGACTTACTGTGAACTACAATATAATGTAAGCGAGACACAAATTCACAAGTAGAATATCCATGTAAATCTTGACTCACAGTTCAGAATAGGAGATTCCGTGATTCCGTATTCCGTTGAACTACCACACCAAGAGAAATTCTATCTTCCTGGTATTCCAACTCTTCGGTGATCGCAGTATTAATCCACAGGTATGAATATATTATTCCGGTGTTTGGTGCTAAAATGTCCGTACACATTTATAGTTAGTAGCAGCCAATTGCAGACAACCGGCAGTCACAACAACAGTCACGCAGCAAAATTTCCGCGGAGCTAACTTCGATCACACTGTTTCACCAAGGCCGGTACTAGCCCCATGTAACGCCAGCTGCAATTTCTCAACCGCATTTGTAAAATTGAGCTCCATACTTGCACAGTCCTAACCGAGCCCTTTTGCCGACTGGTTCTATTGACTGCAAAAACGACAAACTCCCCAACTGACTCCAACTGCCTCAATGACAACCTTCTGAACTACTAGTTCGAATTAAACCACTTATTCGTCCCCATCCTACTAAACCCCTGCACCCGACTTCCCTACAACAGTGCAACCAGTGAGTCCGCTTGTTCGCAGATTGCACCATATTTTGAAACTAAACTTGTCATGTTCTCCCAATTCGAATTATACCATCTCCACCTCCACTTTTGCTCGCTGTGACTCCGGCCGTTTACCCAAACACCCAAGGTCACTCATGGCCAGCAATGGTTTTCAGTTTTAGTTCATGTCGGCCGACTGGGTCTTTGAATTAGTCGGATCTCATGCCCATTCCTCCCTACAAGTTGCGAGAGAAACCTATCATTATTTCATCGAATACTTCTGACTGTTTATGACATTGTCCTCTTTTCGCGGAATCCCCACTGCCCGCAAAACCCCCAGTCCTGCCCCATTCTGACTGTAAACGCATGATCATGCCAAACGGTATGCCACCCACAAGTTGTGAATAAACTTTATTATTATATTTTTCTCAGAAGGCGACAAGCTCCACTTCCCAGGCCGAAATCTAAGGCCGGCAGTTCGGATACTCTCTGGCATCACTGATAAGTTCTGAAATGTGCCTTCGCAGTATCGTATGCCAGAATGTCATCCGCAGACACCACGCATGTTTCAGACACAATTTCACCGGACATGGGTGACAAAGCGTGGAGGTGAACGAATGTTTTATATCCGAAAGTGTAGGAAAGTAAGATTTTGTAATCCCACTTTTGGTTGCCGTACGCAACATTGTTCGAGGGTTTTACAATTGAATTCTGGAAGCAATTTATTACACAATTCCTTGTAAAAGATTAACACGGCAATTGAAAAGTTGAATTTAAAAATATCGCTTCACCAAAAAGTTATTTGACCCCAAAGATGCCCTACGATGCGCTTGACCTGCATAACATGATCCTAGGCAAGTTTGGTCCGGTACTTGCAACGCTAACATGTGAGTGGAGCACTTGTTCGTCCATTGTTTCGATCTAATATAAATTCGACCGAGTGAAAACAACAAAAACTATCATTTGTTCTCATTTTCTCTTGACTTTACAGTGATTAGATGCAATTCCGCCGCACTTCGTTCATGGTGGCAGCTGAACTTAGTCCTTCTTTGGGACGGCTGTAAGTCTACATTATTGGGTACAGAGCCGGAGGCCCCTGCCTCTTGCTTTGTGAGCTTGATAGTCACGAAGTGAACGGAGCGGCAAGATAATCTGTTGTGATCTTCCAGCATTCAGTCAACCAGATCCTTTTGGTCCTCCTGAAGATGTTCTGAAAGTTTCGTGGAAAAGACCATAATCAGTGCTTTTTCGATGTGTACATGTGAGGTTTGGCTTAGCGGGCCTCACTGTGGCGCATTTGTGGCTTAGAATTCAATCCGTCGCGGAGTTGGATCCGCCGTGTTCTTGACGCCGCCACTGTTTACCGCAGTCGGAGCCGGTCACATGGATGAGGACTCCTTCTACCAGCAGATGAATCTCCTGCACAATCGATAAAACATCTGCTGATATCCGTATTGATCAGAGGACAAAACGCACCATCGACCCCAATTCCCGGGGTTACAAAGCAAAACTGATGGTGGTTCCAGCAACCGGTGCGCATGGTCGATCCATCTCGCGCTTTGTTCAAACATGAACCCAAGAAAGCCCGACGGTGAAAGTGTCTGCCTAATGGCCGAAATATCCATGCTTTGAAGCCAACCGCGGCATCTTAACTTGTGTCTGTAATGAGCATCCGCGCAGTCTCACAGCCCTTTTGCTTCCTGTCTGACATGGCGGATGATCAGTGAAATGGTGTTACAGTTGCACATTCATTATCATTATTGGCTACTGCTTCTTCATTTTACCTTTCGTTTGCAACCGATGTTGGCTAAAATGATTGCAGTTCAACTGACATGGTGCCGGGCACCGCAGTCCATGGACTGCTAAGGGGAGTTGAGCCTTGCTGTTTCGTCAGATGATTGCTGGTGGTTAAATGCTGATAGTGTAATGCATGGTCAAACCGTTTCTCGGTGGCACTTTGGGACACAATCGAAGTCTCGTACCTGCCTTTCAAAATAACCTACGCTGGGAAATTGCTGCGGGCTCCTTCATGCAGCTAACATAAAACCAGCCTCCCTTGGAGAGCTCGTCTCAGATCATCAATGGGAGTGTCATAGGTAGGTATGCTGTAGTGCGAACGCGAACTGGCCAAAAAGTCAGGGGGCATGTAGCTGGCGGTAACAGTGGGCCGGATGCCTGTGGTAATCGTGCTTGGTGAATGCTTGAGTCGCGCTTCTCCAATTATGCGAAAAGTATACTGCGCCACACCCTGCAGCAAATCCATCATGACATCCTGCTGCCCTTCAGTAAACCACATTACAGATCAATCACTTGAGCTTCAGGTACAAAGGAAGCTGCACTGGAAATGGGTAGGACATGGTTGTGAATTACCTGGTTCCACACGCTCTAATCGAAAAAATTTCCTGATTTTTCAAAAATGGGCCTCTCCGGAAAAACAAAAATGTGCTGTTTTGGTACATGAGACGTCGTCGCAGAAATCATCCGACCGTATTCTCCTTGAGAATCAGGAACAGAGAACCCACAAATCATCCAAGAGTTGTATTCGAAGCCAACAGAAAACATTATGCAGACTTTTATTCTGTCCCAATAACCTCATCACACCCAAACTCGTCAAGCCGTGATCACGAGCGGCTTTCATTCAACTCGGTATTAACGGAGGAGCACACTCGGCACTCTTGCAAAAGACAAACCCGTTCTGGGTGCTTGGATCAGACAGCATCCATTCAATGATGCCGAAGGAAACGTCTTTCACACTGGCAATGCAGTTCTAGCTGGTGTTCCGTCAGTCACACGACAAATGCAATCTTCCCTTTGCTAAGAAGGAAGTGATTTTCATTTCAATCGATTGTCGCCTGGCAGCTGCAGATCTATCAGTCTCACTAGGGTACCGCGCACGGTAATGCGGCACACTCTGAAGCGGGCCATCCTAAATCACCCTACTACCGACAACTTGATATCATAAGTTCGATACAGATTCCTGCCAAACAGTTCTTGGGTGACGAACATGCTCGTGTTTATGAACCCAATCTAAGGACGAGGGACTCATGCTCGATACCACATTTTTCAACTTTTCACACAGGTTTCGCTGCTCCACAAACATGAGTCCTACGGGATTTAAGAGGATATTCAACGCTGGAATAAAGCGTTCATAGCATACAGAGCATTCCGAGTAGAGACGGGCCCGACCTAATGTTCTCCGGTGCCTGCCCCCATTTGAGTTCCGGAAGGCTCTGTTTTCGGACCACTGCTGTCTCTGATTTATATAAGGACCTTCCATACGCTATTTCAAGTCCATGAGTTCTATTTGTGGACGAACTGAAATCCTGGCTTTCGAAAACCAGTGATCTCTAAATGATTGTAGACGCTACAATGTAGTGGACATAGGACTGGCACCTTCCGCTGAATGATGAAAAATGAATCCATATGTCATTTAGAGGGTACTCAAAGAACTCCGTTGTTTTGCATGGTAAGATTGGACCAGAGGACATCGCGAGCGTACATACCATAAATGATCTGCGTACCTGGCTCTCTTCAGATTTGTCCCTCTCAATGCACGATGAAAGATCAGCTCAAAAGATATTCGCCGTTCTACTGATGGTTCGAATTTCGTTGTACCCCAATACTCACAAGGAATTAAAAATACTCTATGGGTCAGATCACTCCTTGGATATGCCATCCAAGTTGCCTTCTCAGAACACAATTGGGACGTGACTCTCATTGGGCGTGTCCAACAAAAATGGTCGCCGGCCCCAAATCCGCGGACTACGAAACGCGTCTGGCAGTGCTTGACCAATTTCGCCTGTACGATCGACGTCTCGACCTGTTTGAACAAGATTTTTCACGGTTGATCTGCCTAACACACGGTGGGAGGTGGAAATATTTTCAAGCCCGCAGCGCACACTTTTATCAAACAATATTTTTCCTCGTTAAGTGTATTGAGTGCGTCGAACAGCTTCACCCACGCTTGATAAAGTACTCAATTTAAAGTAGTGTTAGACGCATTTTATGCGAATTCTCTAGCTGGCAAGGTTAATGCACCGCTCTGAGAACTTAAAGAACGATTCCAAAACCTTCTTGCGCTTTTTTCCTTCAAACGAAAGACAGGATCTGAACGACAGGAACAAAAGATAGTAGGGAGCGTAGACAAATGTCTCGATCCCATGTATCAACCTATGGATCCACGGATCTGCTCTATCGGCCTCGATGAACTGACCTTGAAGGCATCGTTGTTTTAACAGCTGCTTTCCTCTACGCGGATTCGCCTTTCGAAATCACAAAAAATGTCTGGACGGGGAAAAGCGAGGAAGGCGGCAGGAGGAAAGAAGCATACAAAGTCTAACCGTGCTGGACTAGTTATGCCAGTTAGCCGAGTACATCGGTACTTGAAAAAGGGCAGGTACGCCCGCCGGACGTCCATTGCAGCGTCTGTTTACATGTCTGCCGTAATCGAGTACCTAGTTGCCGAAGTCAATGAACTCTCCGGAAATGCAGCGAAGGCAAATAAACGGTAAGCTTTTGAGTCTAGTCACATTTGCGCTCGTGCTGTTGGAGTGGTTTGTGTATCCATAACCCATTGAGTGAAACTTAGGCTTCTAACTTGATGCCCACCTAGTCAGTGCTCAGTGAGCGCAATCTCCTGGTCGTCTAACTTAGGGGCTAGATTGTGTCTTGTGGCTTGTTCCGTAACAGCGTGCTAGTGTGTTATTATACAGTCACATGACCGATACCATGAGGTCAGGTTTGCCAGTTCGGTATCTTGGCTCCAATATAAGCTTGAACTCTGTGAATGAACAGGTGCTGTGCTACACTGGCCGTCGAAGTGTGCTGTCGGCAGAGTTACCTCACCGCATACGAAAGTCGGGTGGGCTGTTGCTTGTGCCTCAACGTATTTTTTATATCCCATCCTGTTCTGGACGTTGCATGTTCCTGCACCGCGTTTGGCAGCGGCACTTGCCCTTTCGGCTTGCAACAGCTCAGTACGTGGTGTTGAGGAGTGCCAGCTGGCATTGCTTCATTGTTGGTCTGTTCGTCAAGCTTGTTAACTGCGTGGCAAACGTTTCATCAACCATCGAGGAGACACGCAACCATGCACTGGCGATTTCCCCCTGATTGATGCCTTCCAGTTGCCAAGCTCGGTAACAGACCAACAATCATGCCTCAAAGGCCTCAAAATCCGTTCCTGAAACCCACTAAGTCTACTTGGCTATCCTTCACTTCTGTAGTAAACAGGTTAACTAACTGCTTTGGTCCGTACACCAGATTATCCCCACATTGAGTTAATCTATTACACAAAATCACCTAACCGAATGCACCTTCCCACATCCGGAAGCGAAGAGAACTGTGGCCGGGATGAGTTGGCTTATAGAGCGCGAATTTACTGACCGGAAGGTCTTTAGGCTTCACTTTGAACCTAGGTGATTGATGCAAGATATGCGGCTGAGATACTATCTGAGTATACGCACCCGAAGTCTTTTGTTAAGTCGAGAAGACTGTCGTTGTATTCGGTATGGTTCTGTAATAACAACAAATAAACAACGGTTATTGATTGAATAGAAGTGTCAATGGCTAATACATAGCAATGATTCAATACGAACGTACATTCAAGATTGTACCACAGGTCTTTGAGCAGATCCGACGCAAATATCAAGGAAAATACAGGTGAAGTTTATACTCCAAGTAGTGTCTGAAATGTGGAATGAGAGTCATGAAGTGTCGGTAGGTGTGAAGGAATCAACAAACGTTCACCGAACGTTACACTCCTCCGGGATCGACAACTGAGTTGGGTCGTTGCTTGGTGGAGTGTCAAGTATCTCTATGTTTCCTTCGAGCCTGCATAAGTGGCGCACGTCCCTGCGAACACGACCAGCGGCTGTTCGAATAATCG